ATCGAAGCCACTGCACAAGGATGGAATTACTGAGATATCGAGCAAGAATCTTCTGTTGGCACTTGTCCAGTGGGAACAATGGTCATCGGCACGGTGTCTGATAAGTGCAAGAAGTCAATGTAAAAGCTCTTTACGATAGGTTGCATCTTGTACTGAAATCGGAGCCCGGTCAATGCCGCCAGCGGCATTTGATATTAACAAAAGCCCCTTCGGCACTTCCTGAGACTTTGTCTTCCTTCGGCTGTTTCCAGTATCTTGGTGTGCTCGTTCCCTGACCTCCTTCGAAGGTGCTCTGCAACTAGCTTTGGCTATCAATCGCTCGGGATGGGTTGCATTCAGATCTGCCTCAGAGATCTTCTTCTTTCGAGTAATGCCTGGAGATTTTCAAAACGCTGTTTCGCTTTGTTGCACTCCGAAATAAGTTGATCAGACGTCATACTAGTTTGAGAATTAATGCCTACTACTTTCACGCAGTCATCCTATTGGAATCTCCTATTAATCCATGATCTCTGATCGACTTCGCCTTCGCACTCTTCTAGAATTATTTCCTGCCTTTATTTTTTTCGTCTATTTTGTTTGCGATAATAACAGCAGTTAAGGGTTATCAAGTTATTCACTATATCGTCTTGGAGAATCCATGTACTTTTGAAGTTTCTGGCGATATATGCTTCGTTTTTCGATTTCTAATGATATTTTGTATGGTTTGTTTCGCATATTTACAGGTACTATCACTTACGACTTAGTGACATTGGAACGTTCCAGAAATCTGCACTCTTTCAGTTTGCGATGGTAACTGAACGTTTTGTGGCTTTGTGGAAGCGCAGTAAGTACGAATCATTTGGAAAGAAAGTGGGAATGGGCTTAGCAACTATATCGGTGGGAATCTATTCGGTATATAAAGAGCACTAAACAACAGTGACAGCACTTGTCGTAGTTTGCAGATCTTTTTTGCTTTCGCTGCTACTGCTTGGACACTGCGTCGCGAGGAATACTCCACCACAGCTTATTGTTCCTCTTCCACGCCAAATAGTTTGACAAGATTATCAGTATTATGTATAGTCCTCTGTGGTGTAAGTGTAGCTACGTCAGCAGGAATAGCAATTTTGTACAGCAGTAATCATGTTGCTGTCAAGAGGTATACTTATAGAATAATAGAGGAAGAAAAGTGTCATAACCGTTTCAGTAAGCCGTTTGACCTGACTACTTCCTATCAGCTGAACGAAAATTACTCTGTTATCAAACTTCTCCTGCCTTTAACAGTTTTCCAAAATATATGCTATGTTTATTTCACTGCTTCGTCTGCAGTATTTACACTACTGGCAAACAGATTTGAGCATACTACATTTCGCATTCTATTTCCTCTTTGTTACGTAAGTTTTGCATTGATTTCCATGCGACATCAACTCTTAAAGTCTCACCTTAGGTCATACCTTTCTACACCTTCGTTTGTCCGATCTTAATCTGGTATATCGTTCTGAAGTCAAGACGTCTTAATAGAAAGAAACTTGAACAAGCTACACAAGTTCATAACAAAGCGGATGACGTATACTTCGATGCATACTCGAAAGTGTGGGGATGAATAAGTTAGTTGTCCACTATGCTTGCATGAGAAGAGGTATTTGATTTGTTTGCCAAAGAGGCATCAGCGTGAACAACTTGTTTTCCAGAAGTTTACTGTGTAAATGAGAAGAGAAGCCGAAATGCCGCTGAGGAATCATACAAGAAAAAAACGACAGACATCTTATCTAAGCCTATGCTTGCAATCCGTGTAAC